CTCAGGGTAAAACTCTCAGTTGCTCTCTTCTCACAGCCAGCTGACTTACTGACTTGAGTACCTAAAATCCTGTCTTTAACAGTCCTCTGATTGACACTTCCCTGGGCTCAGGGTTCCCTAAAAGTTCCTCTTTTTCATAGCTCTCACCTACTATCTTACTGTCCCATCTCAGTCAACTGGAGTTCCCATCCCTTCCCCACAGATGCTACATCTTTCTGTAGGGAGGCATTTGGTATGTCTTAATGGTCTGTGTGTTCCAGGACCTACCGCAGTGCCTTGTTGTACCCAGTAGGGGCTTATGTAATGTTTGTTATTAAATTAATTGATAAACGAATTAAAGAGTGTGAATGGATTCTGTAATGCCATGACTGATAGAAAGGTAAGTACTCAGTGATCCTTAAAGGATAGGAAAAAATGGTTGGAGCTAGAAGTCGTGTTCAGGAAATTTATGTTAACTTTCTAAAAGGAATGGATTGACAAGAAATTTGAGATTAAAGGGGAAGAGAAAAAATAGATATAATTAGGTAATCGAAGGTAGCTGGCTCATGATGCCCTGTCAGAGAGAAAAATTCCTGTCCTTTTTGCCTAATTTGCCCTACCACACCTCCTTTTGCCTTTGGCAGGAGCCTTTGTTGGAAGAGATGGTGATGGGCCTAGGACCCCTATTATTGGTCTTCATGATGGGTCTGGGTCTAACCCTGCCCACCCTGGCTCAAAATAACTACAGGTACCAACACTTCCTGACCCAGCACCGTGATGCCAATCCAAGTGGCCGAGATAAGAAATACTGTGAAAGCATGATGGCGAAACGAGGCATGACTACACCCTGCAAAGATCGCAACACCTTTATTCATGCCACCAAAAAAGAAATTAAGGCTGTCTGTGAAGATAAGAATGGAACACCTTACAATGGAGCATTCAGAAAAAGCAAGACTCCCTTCCAGGTCACCATTTGCAAGCATACGGGAGGATCCCCCCGGCCTCCCTGCTATTACAAAGCCACATCAGGGTCCAGAGACATTGTTCTTGCCTGTGAAAACGGCTGGCCTGTCCACTTTGATGAGTCCTTCTACCGTCCATAACTAGCAGGCCACCGGCCCAGAGTGGCTTTGCACTCTTTTCCTTGCATTTCCCTCTGCATACTCCGGAAGAGTGATGGCGACATTCATTGCCAAGGGCACAGAAAATGAGCTGCCTGGATCTTTTGTTTTCTGTTTTACAATATGTTTAATAAATAAAAATGCCTCTGAAATTAGTAAGCATCAAAGTCTTCTCAGCGATTCTTGGCCTGTTTTTCCCCGTTTTCTCTACTCAGTGGATTCAATCCTCAGTGAGAGGATTGGATGGAATAAAAATGACTTTTCCGGTATCAGTTAGTCCCTTCTCAGTCAGTAGGGAGGTGGACTTTACCTTTCTGTGAAGGAATGTTAAATTCATCTTACAGAGAGCTGGGAAAATTTTAGGGCTCATGGCTGCTATGCAGAATTTTGGGGAGGAGCAAATTGTTTTTGCTGTCAAATAAGCCAGTATTACTTTTACAACAAATGTTCAACCTTGAGAAAAGTTTAGGACTAAATACCAACAGATTAATTGAACTTCCTCTCTCTCTCTCTCTCTCTCTCTCTCTCTCTCTCACACACACACACACAAACACACACACACACACACACACAGTCCTGCATGAATACCAAAATTCATTTCTGGTAACCACCTCTTGTCTTAAGCAGGAGGTAATATTGATGTTGTTTTAAATGGAACACTCCCAGGATATTCTCATGGTTATTTCATATAAAACCCAAAAAATTTGATTACACTATTTTCTCTTTAATCTTCTACTTTATCAACTGTTATCTGGCTACTGTGAGGTCTTAGGGAATTCACAGAAAGAGTCCGAGCTTATCCCTTATTCTTCTTCAACTAGATTTGTTTTCAAGTAAACACAAACTTAGGTAAACAGACACTTTTTTGGTAAAATATACTAATCAATTCACAGATTTAGTGGTTAACTTCCTGTTACCTAGTTTCTATCAACAGGTGCCTGGATATTTTATTTAGAAAGTAGTTCTTAATAAATTACAGATATACTTACAGAAACATAAAGTGGTGTCTAAATAACAAAAAAATGAATTACATTTATAAAGCATTGGTTTTGCTGTCTTTGAATAGATGACGATAGTGGTCACAGTATTCCCAATGGTGGCCTCTCCTGCTGCCTACATTGCCCTAAAATGGCTCAAAAGCCACGATTCCTCAATACTCAAGTTATAGATCAGTGTCCAGGTGCCACCAGGTGCCAGGAAGAGCCTGGCCTCACTGAAAAAATTTAAATTTATGGAGGAAGGGATGGAAAAGTAGGTTAACTGGTGCACACACAGCACACGAATCTCTCCACCTTGAGTTAATCTATTTCAAAACTGAAATCACTGTCATTTCCTAAGAAAGTTGGGAGAACAGTTTTCCAGACCTCTCTTGCTAGAAAATTTGCCTTACCGTAAAATCTCAAAAGCCTTTAGGAAGTGAGAAAGGTCTGGTTTTTGTTTGTTTGTTTGTTTGTTTGTTAGAATATTTGGACCCTTTTCTCAAGTTATCCGACCAGTACCAACTCCTTGATTTGAGGAAAGGTGACTTCCATAGAGATCATTGCCCCACTCAAGGCTGTGATGGGGAAGGTCAAAGGCATGGGCCATTATTATACTGAGTATGCGATAGCTGTGAAAACTCATGGCCTCTCCCAACATCTGCTTAGATACTATCGTTACATGCCTCACTCTGGTGTCAGGGCAAATGACTCTGCGAGAGAATCACATGGCAATGAGATGAGGGTGCTTCCTGACCTGATGAAAGAGGCAGCAGCTGGGTAGCTGATCTTAGTACTTTTTGCTCTGGGTCTCTTGTTCTCTCACAACCAAAAGCTGTTTAGAATGAAATGTCAAATGGCAGGCACATTAGTCTTTATCTCAAGCAAATCATTTGAGGAATAGAATTAAAGTCCTGGTCAGCTGTACTTTGTTTTTGAAGAAAAACCTTAAAATGTCTAGTCCTTCAAAGAATGGTGACATGGAAGGAAGACAATTCCATGCAATGTGGAGGGGAAATTTTTCTCTAGGAACACAGCATAAATTCTAGTAGCTAAAATAGTTCAGCTTAAAAAAACAACCTTTTAATTTGGAGGGAATACAGGTCTCTACAAAATGGAGGGGAAGGGTCAATAATACATAAAACTTAGTATAGTTATTCATTATTTTATCCAGATTGAAGGAAGCAAAGGAAACCAAGGAAAATGGAAAATGTAAAAATGATAATTGCCAACATTTACTAAGAGTTTACCATGTGCTAGGCATTGCGATAGCACTTAACTTGGACACAAAGAAACAGGATGAGAAAAAGTAGAATCGTGCAAAATTAGAGGTGCAAGATTAACCATGAAAGATTAGGTTTGAAGAAAACAGCTCAAAGTACATTGTTGTGATGAAGCTATTTCCCAAGTGCTAATTATACCTTCAGAATTTGTATTCATTTGTCTTGGGGTGAGGAGTAAATCAAGTATCATTTCTCACTGCTATTCTTCCTACAACCCATTTGCTTCTCTCTCTTCCTAATTCCATATCTCATATCTACAACTGCTGACACTGGAATGTAATATGGAGCTTTCTATCTTTCTGTGCACAGGCAAAAGTCTGTGAATATAGGAAGTAGCATTCAAAAGAATGAAGTTATGTTTGATATTTATATGCAGGTCTCTCATAAGCTGTGTCAGTCACTCGATGTGATCTACCATTATGAAGCAAAATCTTTGAAAATAAAGGACATTGGTACCCATATACACCAAACTAGGTCAGCGGCGGCCAACCTTTGGATTGCACATGTAGAAATGAGCCTATCTGACTCTCAAAAAAGTTTTCCTTTTTATTTTGGATTGATCACTTCCTTTTGAATCAGAGACAATTTTTCTTTGTGCTAGTGAGTCAGCCCTGCCTCATTGCCAGGGTCAAGTAGATTCAGTTCATGAGTTCATGCCAATTCCAGGAATGACAGCCAGATGGCAGCATCTGGCTAGTTAGTGTTGGTGAGTGATTCTCACCGTGTTCTACCCCAATTAAACTATTGCTAGAAAGAAGCAACTCTGAAAACAGAGGTCTTTAATATGCTGGAAATTTGGGGAGTGAAATAAGTAGGTCGTTGAGGAAAGAGCGCAGATTTTAGAGTCAGATAGGTCTGGGTTCATTTCTTTACTCAGCCAGCAAAATCAATGCTCTGAAATTACATGGCAATGCTTTCTTTGTTGTGGCTCGGGAGGTTTGTATTTGTTTATTTTGTAACTCTGTACAACATATGTTTATTTTCCACTGCCAAAAGTGCCAACAAAATGATTCTGCAACTAGAGAAGACAACCACCGTCAGATATTGACAAGACAGAGGAGCATCAAGAATAGATGCATGATGGAGACGGGAAAAAACGGCATAGATAATAGAGGCTCTGTTCATCTCTCTGGCAAACAAATCAAAGTTGTGACAGAAACAAGAAGCAGCAGCAAGGGAAAATTGCATGGGATCTAGATGAATAAACCATACAATTAGGGAGAAGTCCAAGAAAGCACCCTGCAACAAGAGAAGGTAGGACAGGGCAAGGACATGGGACTGCCGGGTCTCCAGCAGCTGAGTGAGACGGAGGCTGCCTAGAAGCCTCTTAAAGGGGGCGCATCTGCGAGTGGATTTTCACGGTGATGGACCTGCTTGCTCTGAGCATCAGTGCCAATTCTGCTTTGCACAGGGGGCACCGGGGATTTACAGAGAGACATTGTTGGAGTGAGGGCTGAGGTGAAACTTGCTCTGTATAGAAGTACCGGTGGTATCCATTGTTCCCTGTTGAGCCCTCCCCCATACCAACATGCCAGACTCAGCACCTAGCCCTGTCATCATCAAATTGGATAACAGAGGTTGCTCCACCCAGAAGATTCCCTGAAACCCCGCCTCCCCCAACTCAGGGCCCCCACCTAAGCCACATCCAGGTATAGCCTCAGCGAGACAGGTGCTCCTTGCTGAGCAGCGCCTAGACTCTCACTGGAGACAGCTGGCCTCGGTTTCTGCTGTGGCCTTTTGAGGCAACTATAAGCACAGCATCTGTGGATTGCTTGCTGAATCTGAACAGGTGGCCCCAGAGGGGTAGAGACTTGGGCTAAGTTTGGCCTGCAGCTGAACCCCTCTCAGGACTGTGCCACTAGACACCTACTTCACAAATCCACACTAATAAGATCGGGAGACTTAGGAGCTTTGTTTAGTACATAGAAACAGACACAGAAAGGTAGCCAAAAAGGGAAAACAAAGAAGCAGAAACCGTATGAGAAAACAGAACAGAGATCCAGAAATAATGGAGTCAAGCAATCTAACTGATGTAGAGTTCAAAATACTGATTATAAAGGTGCACAGTGAACTTATAGGAAGTGTAGATTAATTCAGTGAGAACTTCAACAAAGAAATAAAAAACACGAAAATGGAAATGGAAATTATAAAAAGGAACCAGTCAGAAATGAAGAACACATTATCTGAGATGCGAAGTATATTAAATGGAATAAATGAAATGAATAAAGAAATGGATCAAATGCCCTATATAGAGGATGGGAAAGCCAAGGACACACAATCAGAATGACAAGAGATAAGATACCAAGACTTAAGGAGCACATGGGACACTATTAAAGGTAAAAATATCCGTCTCATAGGGGTACCTGAAGGAAAACAAGATGTTAAAGAGATATTTGAAGAAATAATGATGGAAAACTTCCCTAACCTGGTGAAGGAAATGGACATAAAACCCCAGGAAGCTCAAAGATTTCCAAAAATCAGGGATTCAAAGAGGCCCACACCAAGACTCATCATAATTAAAATGCCAAAGTTTAAATACAAAGAAAGAATATTAAAAGCAGCAAAATATTTGACAGGATGAAGACCCAGGATACAATGAAGAATAATTTATCCAGCAAAGCTATCATTTAGAGTTGAAGGACAGATAAAGAGCTCCCCAGACAAAAATAAGCTAAAGGAATTTATCACCACCAAGCCAGTATCACAAGAAATATTGGAGGGACTTCTTTAAGAAGAAAAAAATACAAAAGACTCACTTCAAATTAAAAGACACACAGACTAAAAGGAAAGGGATGGAAAAAGATATTGGTTTGATGGACCTAGAAGGTATTTAAATCAGACAGAAAGATAAACACTATATGATTTCACTTATATGCAGAATCTAAGGAATAAAAAGAACAAACTGATCAAAAACAAACACATATATAGTGGACAATTTGGTGACGGACAGAGAAGAGGGGTTTGGGGTCTGGGAGAATGGCGTGAAGGGTTAAAGAAGTACAAATTAGTGGTTGATACAAGGTCATGGGGATGGGGAGCATGGCATAGAGAATGCAGTTAGCATTAATACGTTGGCTAGGTAGTGGGTCAGGGGAGGGAGGGAGCAATTGGGATCATTTTACAAACTATACAGATGTCTAACCAATGTACTGTATACTTGAAACTAATTAAAATAAATAATTTTTTTAAAAAAAGAATATATGCATGAGAATGGAATGTATCACCAGGGCCTAGTTTTTTAGTTTTTTGTGCATAGAAACAGCAAGGAGAAGGACGCCATGCAAGTCCTCTTTTGTGGTGATTGTGCTGTTTAGATTTATATTTGAAATGTTTTTTAGCTTTTCTTATCAGTCAGTTCCACAAGCCTGGAAAACACTTTCATTCTCTATACCCACTTCGTTTTATTTGTTCATTAGCTCGCTCATTTTATTTATTAGTTCATTCAACCAATATTTACTCTCTTGAAAGCACTGTGGCTAGATAATCTGTTTTTGACCTTTTTTTAATAGTATTAACAAGATTTCCAAAAGGGCCTGATTCTAATACCATTAGAAGAATAGCCACATGTGTGAAAAAGGTGAAGGAATTAAGAAATACAAATTGAATGGGCCAGGAGCTTAGTGTCGTGAACTGTTTTAAAAATAAAATATCTTAAAATTAAAAGAAAAAAAGAAATACAAATTGCCAGTTATAGAAATAGTCACAGGGATGTAAAATTACAGCATAGGGAATATACTCAATAATATCGTAATAACTATGTACGGTGCCAGATGGGTACTAGACTTATTGGGGTGATCACTTCATAAGGTACCTAAAAGTCTAATCACTATTTTGTATACCTGAAATTGATACAATATTATATGTCAACTATAATTGAAGAAAATTTTTTTTTCAATTTTAGAACATTTTATTACCTAAAAAAATTTTTTAATTAAAAAAAAGACACGTTGAGCGGAAAGGCTAAACCTAAACGTTACTCTATGCTTTCTTATGCACATTCCTCAATTCCCAGATGTCAGGAATAAAAATCAGTTCATAAATTTTCTTCGAGATATCTTGAGTCTATCCAAACTCTTGGGAATCAGAGCCTTCAGGGAGCCAAACAATCTAAAGAGCATATGACTAGAGAATTCCCTCAAGAGACAGACGTTTCCAGCTTTATTAAATTGGCCTTTTCTCCCTTTTCACACCCCGACCATCCAGGCCAAATGTACCCCCACAGCCACCCAGTCAGTCTCTACCCTGAGTCATTGTACTGGCTACAGCAACTTCTCTATACAAGAGAAAGGCTCTTGCTTTCCGAGAAGATTGTGTTTAAAAACTGTTCACTCTTGGGGAAGCAGTGTCGAGAGAATTTGTGAGCAGAGAAGAGTAGGGAGATGGTACATATAACAAGGAAAAACGAGGACACTATAGAGTCGAGGAAGTATTAGCTTGCCATTCTGAACACCTCTCTCTGGTGCCCAATTGTTACCTTCCTTTTTCCTGCCCCTTTGTTTCTCTCTAGGCACCTCCAAGGTAGTGATGGCTCTCCAGAGGATCCTTTCATTGCTTCTGCTCTTGTTGCTGACCCTCCTGGGGCTGGGGCTGCTGCAGCCCTCCTATGGCCAGGATCACATGTACCAACGATTCTTGCGGCAACATGTGGACTCTAAGGTGACAAATCGCAATGAAAGCTACTGCAACTTGTTGATGCAAAGACGGAAGATGACTTCGCGTTATTGCAAGTACTTCAACACCTTCATCCATGAGGACATCTGGAAAATTATTAATATCTGCAGCACCACCAATATCCAGTGCAGGACTGGTGAGATGAACTGCCATGAGAGTGGAGTGTAGTGAATGCCACAGACTGCAGGCTGATAGCAGGTTCCAAGGCCCCCAAGTGCAGATATCGGGCCATGACTGGTACTAGACAGGTTGTCATTGCCCGTGACGGTAATCCGGCGCTGCCTATGCACTTTGCCAGATAGATGCCACCCTGCAAGGGTTATGGCCCCATGGTCGGCCTTTAACTTACTGCTTGAATAACAATGAGTAATGAATGCATTTGAGCAGTACCAGGTTGTCTCCTCTGCTTATTTTTTTCTCCTCTATATAACCCATTTCGTTTTCTGTAATAAACTTTTCTGTAAATTCTTCTGCTTCCTTTTATATTACTGGTCAGCTTACTTCCCTCAGATTCTCACCTCTGCAATTTAGTCATTTTACATATATATAGCATTATATATATATGTGTGTGTGTGTATATATATGCATATATATATATATATATATATAGCATTTCAAGCATTTCAAAATTCTTTCATCTCAGTTATTTCATTTTACTACTACAGCACCCTTGTGATACTGATGTTGTTATACATAGGAGCCCAAAGTTAAGGGATTTGCTGAAGACCATGAAGTTAGTGGAGAAGCTGAGACAAAAATCCACTTTAACTGGCTATTAATTCAAGGCTTTTTCTATTTCATCACAAGGAGTGTGTTAAAAGGATCTGCTTTTTGTTATTCCCAAAGGTCAGCTGTTGGGGGAAGCATTAAAAACTTGGAAATATATACTGGCAAAATGGGAGCTCTATCTGTATAATTTGGCAAGCGTGTTATGTTTGGATCTAATAAGATCAAGAAATGATACAAAGATTTCTCTTTTACTCTTCCCAAACTTTCGAATCACCGTAGGAAGCCAGAGTATTAACAATGTACTGGATCATTAAGACTCACTCACTCTTCCTGACTGAAAGATTGTTCATGTTTTCCTTATAATAAAGAACTCACACTGCAGGTATCTGTGAAGACTGTGCTATGGTTCTTGCACGGGGGATTATTTATTTTCTTCTGTCCTCTTTTAATTCTTCTCTAGTTTATAACATGCATATACCTTAGTATCCTCATAAACTGGGCCAAGACTAAAGCCTATTAGATGGATGACCACATCACAGAAACTGTCTCATTTACTCTAAAGGGAATGATTCCTCTCAAAGGCAGTTCTCACACCCCTCCCTTCTCCCTTTGAATGTTTAGAAACAAATTGAGAACAGAGATGTATGAAGACACTAGCAGCTAAAGAAGGAAGGTATGTTTGTGAATGTGTGTGTGCACGTGTGCATGAAAGGATTAAATTGAAAATACTTGAATTACAGCAGATATATATTGTTTGTATTTAAGATGTACAACATTATTTAATATATATATATATGCATTGTGAAATAATTACAACAATCAAGCTAATATAGTCACCAAAAGTGACTCCATTTTGTACTGTTGTTTCTTTTTTTAACACTACTGAACACCATAGCTTAGCCCAGCCAGTTTCTACTGATTGCACATGGCTTTCACACCACCTGAAAGTCAAAAAAATCGCAAGTATGAGAAATCATAAATAAAATTTTTAGCTTCTCCCACAAGTGGAATTTTAAACCAATCAGTCTGGAATTTCCTGATCTGAGGTAATCCGCCTAGTAAGATCCCCTGCCTTTCCCTAAGAGAAGTTGTTTTTGCTTGAAATAATCCACTCTTTTAACTTCTTAGTCCCACCCTATTTCTGCCTATAAAAATCTTCCATTTTGTTCAGCTCTTCTGAGCACCCTTCTAGTGGCTAGATGGGATGCTACCATATTCATGAATTACTTAATAAAGCCACTTAGATCTTCAAACTTACTTGTTTGAATTTTGTTCTCTAACATCTGTCCCCAGGGCCTTACGATTTCTTTGTACCCAAAAGTCAGTCTTTGATGTCTGACACCTTGGCTTCGGGCTATTCTCAGAGTGAACCCAACTGTTCTAGATGAGAAGATAAAGAAACAGGTTCACATACTAAGGCTGTCCCCTCTCCCTCACCACCATGTGTACCTCCCCTCACCACCATCTGTACCTCCCACACCTATTCCTTTATTCACTGCTGCAAGACTTCTTGGTGCTGCAAACAGAGGAAGGACACAGAACCTCTACTCTTTAGATCAAGGTACTGATCCCTACTATTACAAGTGACGTGAGTATTGGATCTGAATAAGGTGAGTTAGAGTTAGAAGGGTTGGTGCTAAGGATGCTTGCGAGAAAAGGCCCAGAAACACTAGAAGAGGCATGATTGCATTTCTAGAAGGTAGACTTAAGAATGGAAAGTGATCCAACTTATAAGAAGCAAAGACCTGAATTCAACTCAGCATTAATCTCACTGATACATCCCCCCTTCTTTCCCCAACCTTTCTAAGCGTAATACATTGAAGCAGCTTGAATCCTAGTCTTTTAATCCTAATTAGGCCAATTTGAGCCAGAGATAGGGGGCCACCAAACAAAAAGTGCCTGTTCCTTGTTCTGTGCCTGACATTCTCAGAAGTGCTCTCACACAAATCTCATTAAACTCTCACAGGTCTGTGAAGGAGCTATTATTATAATAGGCCTGTTTGAAGACATCAGTGCTGAGAGACCTGAGAATCAAGTTGCTACTGATTCAAGGTCTGTGTGCCCTATGCTTCAAAATGCTATTCAGTAGATCAGAGTTTGAAGTAAGGAAAGGTTTATTGATTAAGAAGGCGCCAATTGAGAAGATGGGAGCTCTCAATAGTTCCTCAAATCCATCTTAAGAGCGCCCCAAAGTCCAGCGTCCTTTATGTCCAGGGAAGGGAAGAGAAGTGGGGCAAGAGGTAGATGAAAGCTCTAGATAGCTAGGTACCTAGGAAGACTGCGAAATCTCGGAATCTTTTTGTTGACCTCTGCTGATCTGAGTCAGCCCTGATGCTCCTGTAAATCTTTTATAAAGTCACTATTCTGTACACACTTCCAACCTCCTCAGGGGAGGGCCCTTCTGACAAAAGGCTGATGTTCACGCAAAATAACTCAAGCCTCAAGCAGAGTTCCTCTAGTTAAATAGCAAATCTATAGGAGCTATTAGCCTTGCTATAGGAGCTATTAGCCTGTGTCAAGTAGGGAGAGAGAGCATTTCACTCTGTTACAAGGTTAGAGGTTCTATAGGGACCTCCTCGTGGTTACTGAGGTCAGAGAGCTGGTTTAAAGACGAAACCTTTTCAAACATCTCTAGGCCCTGATTTTGACCAGCGTAGTTCCTGTGAGGGTAGTTTCAGTCTTGATACTTAATTGATTAGAACAATATTTCAAAACTGGAGTTCCTTTTATGATAACATTCTTAAGGACAAATGAAGATTATTTATCTTGATGATAATTAGGGAAATGACCTCTGAAAAGGGAAGTGGGTAGTCAGAAGTAATAACATGTTTCACACAGGCTTTGGGGAAGTGTTATAAGGAAGTCAAGATTCAATAAGCACCATCTGCAGAGTCAGTTGTTTAATTGCAGCCTGGAATTTCAGGGAACCAAAGCCTTTCTACTTGGAAAATATCTCTCAAGTCTTTACTTACCTTCTACATTCCCTTAAAGGGTGACAACCCTTTCTACTTCATAGACATAAAGCTTAAAATACTATTCTCTTTTGAACACATGCCGTTCTGAGAACCAATCTGGACTGTAAAACAGAGCTAGCTAGAGGGTGATTGATGCCTCAGTTTGGGTGGAAGAGAGGTTAGACAGGAGATGTTTGGAATTCTCAAAATAAACTTCACCTATTTCTTTCAATTTTGTGCTTGTCTCACGCAGGCTTTAGCACATTTTCAGTACTTATAAGTTTTATCGTCCAATGAGACTAATCTAGTCTGGGAACCAAGCAGTAATATTGGGCCTACATGTCTGTATTAGCAGGCAAAGGAGTTTTAAGGTGGAGCTCAGCTCTTAGGGCAGTGTTGCAATAATGCTTTCCTCTCTCCTCCCAGTAGACCCACAGGTGGCTCTGGTGACTGAGATGTCATCTTCGCTAAAAACCTTAGGCCCTCTCTTGGTCCTGCTGTTTCCCCTATGCGGGCTCCTTGCAGACAGCCAGAACCTTTCCTGGAGGGAATTCATGAAACAGCACCACCTGAGTACAAGCTGGGAATTCGGTGACTATAGATGCAATAATCTCATGAGGGAAAGATAAGCTCCAAAAGACAAGAACTATCACATCTTCATCTATACCTTATGGCACCAAATTGAGCATATATGCATCAGGAACTGGAGAGATCGCTACAGAAATGTATATATATGGGCCCCATATCCCTTCAAAATACTCAAGTGTGACCTGGCAAATAACAAAAAGAGCTATAAAGAGCAGAGGAGCTACAGCTATATTGAATTCCATTGCGGCATGAGTGGGTTTGTTGATAGCATAGAGGACATCCGATTGTTAGAAGGTATCAGCAGCTAGAAAGTCTACCCCTACCCCCACGTTTTAGTAGAGTGTTCGGTGCTTCCCAAATGGTGGCCCCTGCCTACATCAATAGCCCTTGCTGCTCCCAACTTTGCATTTATGTGCCAATGTTTTCCAGCTGCTTAGAGTTATGTATCACATGGATTCTTGATATCATAAATTTGCCTGTGTTTGTTCTCTGCCTGGAATACCCTTATGTCTTTGTTTACCTGATTTACATCTATTTTTTTTTTCTAAGATTCAGCTCATATGGCATCTCTTTTTAACTATCCCGAGGACTTTCCTGATATTGACTCCTTATACCTACCCAAGCTAAATGATCTTCAGTTTCCTGAATAAATTACATCATTCCACTGTGTGTGATATTTATAATGTTATATGTGCAGATTATGTGTTGTGTGATTGGTATAATTGTTAGAGGTGTGTGTGATACAGATTATGCTTGGATGTGATTTGTGCTGTGTGTAGGTTTAAGGTGTGTGTTATATGTGTGTAATATGTTTATATGTATGATGAGAGTGTAAATGTTTATGTGCTAAGCTGGGGAATAGTTGTGACCTAGGCATTGATGGTGTTGACATGCTGAGTTCTACCTAGATTGGGTGATGCAGCCAGAGGTGATTGGATATAAAACTTGTAGCATGGTTCTGGCTCAAAGTAGATACTCATTCAACATTGCTTTTCTTCCTTTCCTATCCTTTGGCTTTGTACTTTAATTTTGACATTGATAAAACCAACATTACAAGTGCCCGTCAATCATCTCCTCTCCCCGGCTCCAGAAGATAGAGATTTCTAATATAAAAATACCGTAGGCTGTCATCTGTATGAAAGCTATTCCCAGGATTATAAAGGACCTTCTTCATTAGCCATAGAATAACAGAGGTCTTTACTGGACTCATTTGTTAAGAATGTCTCTGAGGAGGCTAATGCATTTTAGATGGGTTAGGGCATTATGTTTCCTGAAAAATAATATGCTACATAGAAGATATTAGCACAATTGAGTTTATCTGATAATAATCATTTTTACTTAACAGAGAAATAGGGTGGGGTTAGAGGACTTTAAAATGCAATGCTTCTTAAGAATGGGTCTTAAGATTTAAATTTTTGTGTGTGTGTGAAACAGAGGAAGGAAATGTTGAAGACACAAGTAAGTAGAGTCCACTAGAATTCTGTTTGCTAAGTGTGGGAGAGAGATCCACAGTAAGAGGAATGTTCGCTTCATATAATTTTGCCTAGGGCAGGTATGGAGAGGAAAAATACCAAACATTAAAGTGCAGTACCTTGTGTTCTTCAGAACCCTGCATTGTTGAATGACTCCAGCCTTGAAATGATTAGAGAAAAGGCCACAGTGTCAACATGTTGAATTAGGTGACTGCTCACCTTCCTAGAATCCAGGCCTCAATGAGTAGCCAATGAGCCTCGCTTGTTCATCATGTTCCAAGGGCAGCTCCTCAACTTTGCAATTTTTCAGTGTACCTGGGAGATGATGACCTATACCCATCAAACTCATAAGAGGTTAGTGTTAAACCAGTTGTTCTTCATCAGTAATCAATTTATATATGAATAATGCCAATTGTTTTTCTCACTTGATAAATGCTGCTTCGAAATGTAGTAACATATTTTGGGATCAAATATTCATATTTTAGGGTGGTCTATTCTGGTCTCCTATATAAGTTTTCCAGGCCTGACTGGCCCAAGGTCTGGCTGTGATCCAGGCCCGCGGCTAGGGATAGGGCCCCTGATTTAGCATAAGTGTAGTCGAGCACCTGCACCTAAAATACGTAAACATAATTCAGCTTATTGTATCATGCATGTGTGGCTGAAGGTCGTTATTGTACTCTGCTATGTGTGGAGGCATGCGGTCCCCTGAAGAGCAGAAGAGAAACACAAGAAAGGGGAGCAGAAGAATACTGTGCTCCCTCCAATAGAGCTGCACTTCCCAACAGAAGTGTGCTCTGCACAATAAAGTTGTTGCCTGCCGTTTCATTCTCATGTCGGCCTCTTGTGCATTCTTCCAGCTGGGCCTCTCACCATTGAACTTTCCCTTCTCGATCAGCAATACCGCTGATACTTGGCATAGTCGACACAATGAGCTTGGCTCTGACACACGTAACTCATTTAAAAAACTCTTTAAAAGTTGCTTTTATTAAAGGATTAAAATATGGTGATTCAAAACAGTACAAGAAGGGGTGGCTGCATAGTGTAGTGGTTAGCATGTCTGCTGTACACGCAGAAGGTCCTGGGTTCGCGCCCCATTTGGAGCCACGGACCATACCCCGGGTGCCCCAGGCCTCAGGTGCATGCCGCCACCGTGTAGGAGGAGATGCCCCGCCTTCAGATGTTGTAGCCATCAGCCCCTGATAGACACACGGACCACCAGAAATCAGTGAGTTATAGGAAACACACTCTTTATTCAGCCAGCTGGGTCTGCCAGGGGTACGTAGACCTCAAATTAAGCAGCCCTGAAATGTAGAGGTACAGGGTTTTTAAGCCCTAAACCCCTATTCTTCATCCTGTTTGAACACACAAGCCTATTTTTCTTCTTCTTACTAACTGTCAACCCACAGGTCGGTTGTGCAAGCGGGGAGTACAGAAGCGGAAAGCTTATTGTTAGAGCATATGTTCCCATGGGCGATAGCCAAACAGTAATTTTCCAGCCAGCACAAGGGATCCAGTTCTTAAGGAGAAACGGCAACATCCTTAGGTCATGGTGGAAGTAGGGGGTGGGGGGGGGGTGTGCAGCAGGGATCAAAGAGGGGGAAAAATTGTAAAAAAACAAAACAAAACAAAAAACAGTATAGGAAGAAAATATATTTAAATGCATTTAGTATAAATAACTTTCTGTCGTTGCTTGGGCTTTCTCATATCCACTTCCCCCATGTAGATGGCTGTATATTCACTTCCCTTAGGGAACCATTTTTTCTCTTTCTGTGCGAAGCATTGGTGAGGCTGTCCATCAAGGTACCCAAGCTCCTCTGCTGAGCCACGTGATGGTCATGAGAGCCAAGCTAAGCTAACTGGACTCTCTTGTAGGAGACCAGAATATATCACTCTAAAGTACGCCTCTTTGGCATAAGGATGATTTTAAGAAACAACAGACAAAAGAGAAGCTCTGAAAGCAGAATAGATATTATCCTTTCGTGGATGAAAAAAAGAGGTTCCATGGAAAGTAACTTCACAGGATGATCTGATCATAAATTCCTAACTGGGTAGGTCAGGGTGAGTGATCAAAGGTTTATCTTTCCCTTAAGCAAGCCCTTTACATTGTTTCATATATCTTGGTTAACACACCTTTGAAAAAAGCCTCAACCACCCTCAAGAGAGCACATAATCTTGTTAACAACTATGTAATCCATTCCTCACCTTGTTTTCTCCCATATCTGTATAATCTTCCTTACTTTCCCTTCTTAATTTCAAATGCATAAAAGCCGCAAAACCGTTATTCTCCAGAGCATCTGAGATCTTGCTCCCTAGCATATGTCATCAGTTTGGCTCAAATAAACTCAAAAACTTCCTACAGTTTTGGATGTTTCTTATGTCGACACTTTTGTAGGGCAAATTTACAGTTACAAAGGAAATGTCAATTTGTAAGGTTGTATTCCTCTTTGTACTAGAAAGGAAAAGATAACTCTAAGTCACAAGAAGCTCTTATTAATGGAGAAGGCAAAGTATTACATCTGCATAACAAAACTTACACTAATATACTATGCTTTTTCTAGTCATTTTTCTATAACTTGCCTCCCCTATCTGCTTCTTCCTTTGTTTCAGCTATAAATGGTGTGTAAGTCCAAGTTCTAGCCACCTCTTTGAGTTACTCATCCCTGAGTTTCTCCCATATTAATATGATATTCATACTAACAACTTCGGTTTGTTTTTCCCTTGTTAATCTGCCTTTTGTTACAGAGGCCCTTGTTAAGCACCTAGAAGGATAAAAGGAAAAGATTTTTTCCCCTCCCCTACACTGTCCCCAGGGTCTGAATCTCAAGTAGTAGTGCAAGGATTAAATTTTTAAAATTTTAAATTTTAAATTTATGCTCCAGCACAAGGGAGGGAACACAAAGGAGAATCTTCCTCTCCTTTGTGACTGACCTGGGGGCTGTCTCTGCTTGGCTGCTTTTATAACCCGGGGACAAAGCATGCTCCTAGTAATGGTGGATTTTCTTTACCGGAATGAGAAACAGCGATTTCCACATCTGTAATGGAGTAAGTGCTTAGAAGGGAGGCAATAATCAACTACTTCTGCATTTTTGCGTAGGGGGTGATGGGGTGATGGCATTCTTGTGGTCAGCTTATTTGGCATTCCTTCTACCCTGGGGCCAAGTCACTATGCAGTCTCACCGGAATATACCATACACATTCCAGCCACCTGTTGCTACTTTGTGACAGTCTTTCCTATATTTATATTCCAGTTTAGTCCGCAGCAGTTGAGAAGCCTATAGGCTCTAGTCCATGGTGATCTCTCCTATCAGTTAGAAAACAAAATTCAACCAAGTAAATTTGAACATCTAATTGGCTTTATTAAGCAATTCATCAATCAGGCAGCATCCCATATAGCAACTAGAATGGCTCTCTGAGGTGTTATATAAAATTAAAGGTTTTATAGAAAGCAGGGTGGGCAAGGAAGCTATTAATGAAAGAAAAGAAAGAATTACTTTGGGGCCAGAACAGCTTTCCTTTGGAGAATCAGAAAGGGAAGTTTTTTTTATTATGTAGTTTGCCTCATTTTTCTAGGAGAGGGCCTACTCAAAAGATTACCTACCTTACTGGTGCTTGACCAGAAAATTTCATAATGGTTGATTAAGATTATGTTTCTGGGAGAGGTTTTCACTGCGTTTAGATCAGGTATTAAATCTAGGTTTGCTTTGTTAAAGAAAAAAAAATTAGGCCCCAAATGGCATCATTTGTGCTAAAAGATTATGGTACTGAACCTAGATTTTTCCTATGCATTGTAGAGGAGGAAAAAGTTTTCTTTGACCCTCTTTGGGTCCCTAGCTGGTTCTAAAAATTAAACTGACAAGATCAATAGAGAAAAAACATACAAATTCTATTAAATTTTTACATGTACATGAGAGTCTTCAGGAGAGAATGCAGATGCAAAGAACTGAGCAGGAAGCTTTTATACTGTAACCAGATGCAGTGTTTCTGCTTCTCTTCCATCTGATGCTTACTGTAAATTCAAGCCTGCATATCTCCCCGGGCCTTCAGGCAAACAGTTTCTATTGTAGACATGCTAATTGGCTAGAGGTAAAAAAGTCTCTTGAATAGGTGGGAAAAGATATACAAAGCTGTAACTGTTCATCAAAGATTTACAGAAATCTCAGGACCAGCTTAGATCAGCAGGAGTTAAAAACTTACTAAGAACAGAAGATTTTGCTGCTCCTCCTTGGAACCCTGTGGGTACCTGATTGTCTAGATATCTCATCTACCTCTTCCCCTACACCTACTCCTTTTTCTTGTGATAAGAGATGGTTGAACTCTGTACTTTCTTAAGATGGATTTGAAAAAACTAGAAGTCTCCAATCTTCTAATATGGTGCCATTTTGATAAATAAAACCTTTCCCTGTTCCAAACTCTGATCTATTCAATATTAAATATTTGATGTGCTGAGCACATTGGCTTTGTGATCGCAACAATATCTTTTAGACAAAGAAACAAATTTGTGAAGAACTGACAAGACAGGGATTTGGTCTACTGGTAGTAAATGGTTTTTTAAAAAAGTAACTAGGAAGATAAGTGTTAGTTTAACAAGGTTTGTTTGCAGACTACTCTGGAGCCCTCTCTGGGCTGTTAAGAGTCTGTCTTTGGTAAAAGGAGAATTTATTTCCTGCTTAGAGGCTAAAAAGGAGGAGCTTTTTCTGCATTTACTGATTCTTAATTGCCTTCGGTGCAAAATAATTTGTATGTCAAAGACCCATATTTTGGAGTGACACATTCTGGTTTCTTTCAGCATGAACATAGAATATCTCTCTATTTATTTAGATCCTCTGGTTTATTTCATCAGAGTTTGATAGCTTTCCTCATATGGATTTTGTATATATTTTGGTGCTAACATAAATGTTTGTGTATGTGTGTTTTAAATTTCAAATTCCAATTGTTCATTGCTGGTATATAAGAAAGCAGTTGATTTTGGTATATTAACCTTGTATCCTGCAACTTGGCTATAAACAGACATCATTTTTGTACTATAGATAATTGGAGCCTCTCATTGTCCCTCTCAGTCCCGTTCCATCTCCCTCATTCTGTCTTTGAGAGGAGACCACGTCTCTGTCTGTTCCTTCTCTAATAAACTTTCATTTTGACTCTAACTCTGGCGGGCGCTTGAATTCTTTCCTTTGCGCAGTCAGGAACTCTCCTTCTCTTGGTGCAGAACTTGAGTCCCCACTCCAGGGCATTCTCCCTGTCCTGCATCAATAGAGCTTCAGAAAACTGATGCTTCAGCTCAGGAAGGAAGTGTCCAACCCATATCAGGAAGTGATCAGTTCCTCAAAACTGTGAGTTTTGAGTCACACTCTTTATGTAAGCTTACTCTTCCTGTTTCTACAGTGATATTGATACTATTTTAAACTGCAAGTTTGAAGATCTAAGCATCTCATTCACACTGTGCACAAGAGGATCATCTTGCAAGCCCTACATTTTTCTTTCTTCAGGTCTCAGAATTCTTCCTTTGCAGCAAGCAGGCAGCTCTGGCTTGCCTAGAAGAGTAACAGCCCACAAAAGTCTCAGCCTATAACTAACTACTGCCTCTGTTCTCAGCGGAGCACCAGTGTGGAGACCTGGTAAGAGACGAATCAGGGCTGGGGAGACTAGAACAGTGAAGATGGCTGGGAAGTCCAGGTCAAATCAATGGAGAATAGATATTTCAGAAGGTAAGAGGGAAGAAACAAAGATTTCCCACATGGGAGCCATCAAACACACAAGTACAGAATAAAGAGAAGGTTGGAATCTGCCAATCACAGGAAAAGTCTTCTTGATGCAGGACAGGGCAAATTTCCCCGAGTAGTGGGGAAACCAAGCCCTGAACCAAGAGAAGAGAGTCCTTTGGCAGAGAGTGTGGAAAGAATTCAACACACAAACACACCAAAGTTAGAGTCAAAAGGAAAGTTTGTTAGAAAAGGGGTAACCCTCCACAGACAGAGTAAAGGCACTGAGAGGGACCCTGAGTGTTCAGAGAATTCAATTCATATGTCATTCTTTAGTTCCCATTTCCTTTGATATGGACCTATAGTGAGGAAGAGAAGAATATGTAGCCAGAAAAGGTAAGAATATGTAAAGTGAAAGTACTGCTGGCAGCTCCCAGCTTTTAATCCATAGGTTCCCCATGGTTTTAGCCATAGGGAATGACTCTTGGTTCCTGTTTTCCCTTCACTGGTGTGGGGAATAGATTGTTAGCAATCCCAGTAGAAATATTCCTTCTTTCTGAAGGTGTCCTCCTGGCCTGGCTGAAGGGCTGACCAGCATATTGCAGTCTCTGATTGTGGCTCGATTAACATTTTTAATTCTCTTATCTCCTCTCTACATTAATTATTCTTACTTCATATTTGTCCTCACTGGGCTTCAGGTTCATCACAGAATTGTGAGACTTGAGTGAGAAAGAGGATAGAAAAAAAGAGCCATGAAATTTTAAAAGGCACAATAAAAAAAACTAAACAGTTATAGATAATAATTTTTCTCTTATTGCTTCTATTACTACCATTATCTTCCCTCTTCCTACACAGAAAAGATGGTGCTTGATCTCCTGGAACGTTTATTTCTTCTCCTATTGCTGCTGGGACTATGGGGACCAATGTGTCCACTTTATGCTTTGCCTAGGAATCTCACCAAGGCTGGCTGGTTTAAAATTCAGCATATACAGCCACTCCCTCTTCAATGCAACACGGCAATGAGTGGTGTCAATAATTATACTCGGCACTGTAAGCCTCAAAACACCTTTCTGCATGACTCCTTCCAGAGCGTGGCTATTGCCTGTATGTCACCTAACATCTTCTGCAAGAATGGTCAGAAGAATTGCCACCAGAGTACAAAGCGTGTGTATATGACCAACTGCAATCTCATTGCAGGGAAGTATCCTGCCTGCCGCTACAAAGAAGCTAACCAGTCCAAGTTCTTCATTATTGCCTGTGACCCCCCTCAAAAGAGTGACCCTCCCTATCAGTTGGTTCCTGTACACTTAGATAAGGTTATTTAAAGTTTTCATCACTTTTCCTCTCACTTGGTACAGGTTCTCTTATGAGCTCTTCTGCCTGTACTTTTCTTTCGTTGATTTCCCTGGTTCCCATAGAAGAAAGGATGGTATTTGGAGAATTAGAGTGCCAAGGATACCCCAGACCAGAGTTGGAACAAAAAGATTCTTTTCTGCTTTGGAGCTCTATGTGTTTCAAAGAAAGACAATAGGGAAGAGGACAAAGAAGGGTTCAGACCTCCATATTTTTAATCTCGGAACTTCTGCCAAGCTTTGTTGCACTGTGTTCACAGCAATAAAACCATTTTCTGCTGCATTCTAATGAGTATATGAGTGTTTGAGATCCCTTTCACACCATTGCTAGGCTAGAGAGATCTAGCTGCTTTTGCCAGTATTCCAAGGAGAACTATCTTGGCCTTAGGTGCAGGGTAAGAAAAATATTTTTTCCTCTATCCTTCTAAGTTTTTGGCTGAGAATCCCTCTGTAATAAAAAGACAAATTAATAGGAGAAAAATATTTTAATTCTATATGGAAACCCCAGAAAGATATGAGACTCAAAAAGTGGCCAGAGGATTGAGCCTTATATACTATCCTGAGCTAAGGAATAAGGTAAGAGTCTGGGGCTTCAAAGAGCAGGAAGACAATTCATAGGTAGGTGAGAAGAGTAAATGTATGGTAAACAAAAGTTGCCTTGCCATATAGATAAGTCTCTCAGATGAAAAAAAGTGATCTCTGGTAATAGCCTTCTTCCTGGTACAGGCCCCTTTTATAATATAAATTTCCCTTATAAAAGGATAAAGTCCACTCTGTTTTTAGAACTTACCCTATTCTGCAGTTCCTGAAAATGATCAACTCAAAATAATCTTTATGGCAAAGAGGCATATTTTGGGGTGGCATATTCTGTTCCCCTTCATAGGTTGCTTTCACAGAGATCGTTTCAGTTTCTTTGTCAACTCCTAGAATTATTGGCCACTAACCTCTAGAGTTAGAAGGCCAACGTAAGTCAAACGCCTTTGTAGAGTGATTAGTTTTTGAGTAGCAGCCAAAGACAATGCACATTGGAAAGGCCACATATTGAAAAAGTTATAAGAGTGTCAATTACCCATGCTACAGAATGGTTCTTTCCAAAGCAGACTATTCCTTTAATAGATGTGCCAATTGGGCTTACCTTCCTTTATGCCACACATTTATGTCATGTCTTAGGAACAAAGAATGGAATACTAAATTTCAGGTTTCAAGAGCCTGGATTCCAAGGGTGATGAATATTCAAGGAAGAGATAAGCAGACCAGGGCAATCTGGCACCTGAGAAGGTGGGTACCTAGTAAGTGGAACGCTGTGGTGGGAATTGAGTTCTCCAATTTAAAGCAGCTCTCAACGGTAATCACCTTTAAGCTGCGCTGCATTTACATTTCACAGTTTCAGTCTTCAAGTAAATTCTGTGGGGAGTAGTGGAAAGGATCTATGCTAGTGTTTGGTGTGAACCCGTGTAGGAAAGTAGCAGCATCCTCAGGGAAAGGGGTCTTCAGATGGCATGTGGTGACCTGAGTGGTAATCAAAATGGATTTATGTACCATATAAACATTATCTGGACATTTCCAGAGATTCTTTGGAAGTAGGCTAGTAAAAATAACCTAGTAAAAGACTGAACTTCCTTTCATTGAACAATTCACTTACATTCTTATTTTTTATATATTAAAAGGAACTCATGGGTTGAAGAAATATGTGCTACAGAAATTTTAAACTGTTAGAAACATTAGGGAGCATGAAATACTACTTAAAAAATAGCAAAATTATGTGTGGGGTGTACATTCTATTTCATTTTATTTTCTGTCACCTTAAAAGTACTGAAAATATCTTGCAACAAAAATTAAAAACAAAATACAAATGCCATCTTTTAGAAACTTGCAGCAATATCTAATCCTCCTCTCCCCTCCCCAAGTCCTCCCTTCCCACCCCGTAACAGCTGTAGGAAGTAAGAATGAGGGTAACTCTGAAACAATCTTTTAAGCTCAAACTCTTAGAAGGTATTAGTTTGAAATAAATGGACTAGACTGAGATGGAAACTATCCCAGATTTGTTTGTTTTCTACACGCAGTTATGTACTGTGGAAGAGTCAAGATAATTGACTAAATCGGAAGTTCATTTAGCTGTATCCCTAAATCAACTTAAATAACCTGACAGACATAGAATGATCTAAATATAGGCAAAGCTTAGAAATAAATTCAGCAAATGTTCCGGCAACTCTCAACTCTGGCTTCATATTAAATTCAACCTAGGAGCTTTTAGAAAAATAATAATGACTAGATCCCTGTGAGAAAAAATAAAATATGTATTGGTTTCTGCCCCCAACCTGGTTCCTGGCACAAAGCTCCTGGAAGCCTTGCAAATTCCTAAGTGGTAAGAGCACTAGGAGCATCTTTTGTTCTAGTGAGGTGACTCTGGGTAGACACCTGGATGGATCCTGGATGGCGCTAGTCACCAGAAAGACCAAGCCATGATTAGAAGATTAAAATTTCAGCCACAACTCCTCATCCTTCATTTTCCAAAGAGGGGAGAGGGGCTGAAATGGAGTTAATAATTGATCACGCCTACATGAGGAAGCCTCCATAAAATCCCAAAAGTTGGGATGCAGAGAGCTTCCAGGTGATGAACACATCCAGATATTGGGAAAGTGATGGGCCCCAACTCCAGAGAAACAGAAGTTCCTACGCTCCGGACTCTCCCAGACCTTGCTCTATGTATATTTTCATGTGGCTGTACATGTGTCTCCTTTGTCATATCCTTTATGGATATATAAACTGGTAAATGTAAGTAAATGTTTCCCTGAGTTCTGTGAGCTGCTCTAGCAAAGTAACCAAACCCAAGAAGGGGTCACGGGAAATTTAGGTTTGTAGCCAATTGGTCAGTCATAAATTTGGAGTGTATCCAGTCCTATTTTTACACTTGTACATCATATATAATATATTCATAAAGAATGTTTCTATGTGCAATTTTAGAATAAATTTATATAAATACTATCATATAGTATAAATCATTCAGCAACTTGTTTTCTTTTTTGTTCACTCAACAGTGTTTTTAAGACTCATCAATATTAAAATGTGTATTTCATGTTCCTTTATTTTTACTGACATATTATTTTTTCCTTTGTATTGATAAACCACCACTCATTTATCAATCTTCTATTAATGGATATTTGGGACATTTCCAAATTTTCACTCTTATAAGCAGTGTTACAATAAACATTTTTGTACATTTCTCTGTGTGCACATGTAGAAAAATTTTACCAAAGTATATGTAGATTTGGAATTGCCATGTCATGTATACTCTGTAATAAGCCTTTGTTAACAAGGAATTTGAGTAAATGTAAGGAGTCAGGGATGACTTCCCTGAAAAACTGATGCTGCTTAATTTGAGACATGATTAATCACAAGGCAGTTTATACATGAAGAAACAGGTTCAGAAAGAAACTTGCCCAAATTACAAAACTAGTAAAGGGCAGACCTATGATTTGAAACCAGATATGGTTGAATTAAAACTAAAACTTTTACCTCATTTATCACAAACACACACACACACACACACACACACACACACACACACACACACACAAACCCAAGGGAGGAAAATTTTTCACATAAATCTTTGAAGGAAAATATTGAGCAATATAACAGCCTATGGCCCTTTTTTTCCCCCACAAATGCAAAAATGTTCTCTTCTTTTCTCTTCCATAGTTATGCTTTATGCAGGGGTCCCCAACCCTTGAGTTGCAGACTGGTACCATGGCCTGTTATGAACTGGGCCACACAGCAGGAGGTAAGTGGAGGGCAAGCAAGCAAAACTTCATCTGTATTTGCAGCCACTCCCCAGAGCTAGTAGCATCACCGCCTCAGCTCCACCTCAGACCATCAAGCAGTAGATCCTTATAGGAGCACCGGTCCCTGGTGCCAAAAAGCTTGGGGACTGCTGCTTACAGCACTCTCCTAAAGACAGTTAACTAACAACAGTTTTATAAATTCACATTAGCTGAGATCTCAGTGCAGGCTGCTGCTCACTGTCTGGAATTTCACTAATCTGTGTTTCAGCTTCTGTTTTAACCAAAGTGGGGCTCACCGCACGGGAGTCCCAGAGTGTTCTTCACTATCAAGAACAGAGTAAGACAGGGGAGTATTCTGGTTGTTTTATATATTTATTTTATCATTATTATCAACTACAATCTATACTTTATTCAGATTTCCTTAGTTTTTGCTAATGTCTTTTTCCTGTTCCAGAGTTCCATCCAGGATACCACACATTACATTTAGTTGTCATGTGTCCTTGGGCTCCTCTTGACTATGACAGTTTCTCAAATTATCCTTGTTTTTGATAGCCATGACAGTTTTGTTGAGAACTGGTCAGGTATTTTGTAAAATATAATTGTTATACTTTTAAACTAAATTCTTTCAAATTGTCACTAATTGTTAGGCCTAGGCATGCAAAGTTTCTTCTGTAGGCAAGGGGAAATGGTTGACCATTGCGCTAAAAAGATATATAGTAGGAATAAACAAGAAAATCTTGGAAGCGGAGTTTGAGGTGCATACTTTCCCAAGGGGAACAAAAATTAGCTCTTGAGGGACAAAAAAATCTTAAATATTACTGTGGTTTCTGGCCCTTCAAACTCAACCCGACTTGACAAAATCTTATACCTTAATTTTTGTTTCCCGGGGAAGGGGATTTGATTAGTAAAAAAATATCTAAAGAGGATCCTTAAGGGAATGATAAGAAAAAAAGATGGAGATATACTCATTTGGTAGAAACAAAAAGGTATGACTGAACTAGGTCTTGTCTTCACCTATCTTTAGAAACTTTTCAGAGCATTTGTACTAAAGGTGCTTTCATATACATCTTTCCAATTAGACCAAGTATTTGGGAGACTAGATTGTGTTTAATTTATTTTTGTATTGGCAGCACATAAATAAATGTATTTCTTATAATGATCATACAATAAAAGCTTGTTCAGCGTATGAAGAAACTAATGAATTCCAGGCTGGAGGCATGGAGACATCTCTGTTATAGGCTCTACTATTGGGCTTGCCCAAGTCAATATTTTTATTTTTTACTTAGAGGAGGACATCAGTGGCATACTGGTCACATTATCGCATAACAAGAGTCTATAAGGATAGAGAAAATTCGAGTATGGAAATAAATTTTTAAGACAATGTAGTATTATAATGGTAAAAATTTCAACACATCTGAAATGAGAAGCCTCACACATTGTTGGTAGAATTGCAAATTGGTACAGCCATTATGGAAAACAGTCTGGACATT